AGGGAAATCACAGCTCCACACATGGATACGGAGAAAAATCTTGGGGCGCCTAGCGCAAAGTCATATTTGCAAATAGACCGATCAGAACAACTAAACACACATGCTTATATGAGAGAGAGTATGTGTGTGTACGTGTGTGAGAGAGAGAGAGAGAGAGACAAAAAAAGTGATGTACTCTCTTACTTTACATTTACTGTTATTGTCTATCTATCGATCACTTTCTTAATCTCTCTCTCTCTCTCTCTCTCTCTCTCTCTCTCTCTATATATATATATATATATATATATATATATATATATATATGTGTGTATATATATACACACACACATATATATGTGTGTGTGCCTGTATGCGTGTGTGCCTGTGTGCGTATGTCTGTAGATATGAGAATATTTAGATATGAAGAGACGTAAAGATATACATGAACAGACATTGATATATACATATGCAGATAGATGTCTGAAGGAGATAGATATGAACAGACTGAGAGAGAGATATGAACTGTCTATAATAGATATGAATAGACTGGCGGCGATAGATAGATAGATAGATAGATATGAGCAGACTGACATAGATAGATAGATAGATAGATAGATAGATAGATAGATAGATAGATAGATAGATAGATAGATAGATAGATAGATAGATGAAATGAAATATATGTGAACACTGAGTACATAAAATATAGCTAAATATTTCGTATACGGATAAGGGAACGTGCGCTTGTGTTTACATAGATGCGTTCCCCTTTAAATGACGTCTTCCAGCTTCTCATCGCATAATGGAGAGAGCGAGTCAGAACATAAGAAGATGAATAAAGCGATTATCGATAGTCGACCATAAACTCTGCAGATTTAACGGAAGAAGTGAGATTTCCATCATCCCCTGCCCGGCCTTTTGGACAGTAACTTGGCTTTTCCTCTTCGGCACGACATGTTGGTGGACGACAGCTTTTATTTGTTTATAAGATGACTTTGTCCAGTCAATAGGTTCTCGTGTAGGCACGTAGACTTAAAAGCATATAAATAAACACGGGGGAAATAAAAGCGTACAAACGCGCATACATTCAAATGTGTATAGTCGAAGTCTTCTGAAAGCTTCTAACTAACTAAATATATCAGAAAATAATCTGTGGCTACGAAATTCATAACGAGACGCATATGATATAACACACATATTTATACGCCCGGTAAGGTAATCTTTCATACACATGCTTACAACTGCTTGCCATTTCGTATAGGATGTTAGGTAAACTTTTCGACATTCGATCATATCAGAACATACTTAATCTATCTATCTATAATTTTTTTCTATCTATCTATCTATCTATCTATCTATCTATCTATCTATCTATCTATCTATCTCATACATTTCAGGGCATTTAGTTCATTCTCTCTCTCTCTCTCTCTCTATCTATCTATCTATCTATCATTATTTCTATCTATCTATCTATACTTATTTCTATCTATCTATAATTTTTCTATCTATCTCATATATTTCAAGATATTTAGTTAATTCTGTCTCTGTCTCTCTGTCTACCCATCTATCTAATTCGTTCTCTCTTTTCACACACAGACACACACACACACACACACACACACACACACACACACACACACACACACATATATATATATATATATATATATATATATATATATATATATATATATGGTTCATTCTCTCTATCTATCTATCTATCTATATTTGTCTGTCTCTCTATCTATTTCTGTTCTCTCACTTCACACGCACACACACACATATATCCGTCTATTTAATTTTCTCACATTATCATCACATATTATCTCTCTCTCTCTCTCTCTCTCTATCTATCTATCTATATCTACACACACACACACACACACACACACACACATATATATATATATATATATATATATATATATATATATATATATAGATAGATAGATAGATAGATAGATAGATAGATTCATTGAATACATTTCTATCTATCTATCTCTCTACCTTTTCATGTGTGATCGATTGAAACCTAAACCAGTGAGTTAATGTGTCAGGCAATTCAGTGCGAAGTAACTAACCTGATATGCATAGAATTTTCTATTCGTTTTTCTTTTATATATTGCATTGAATGTTTATAACTATCTAAAATTATAGATATACTTTGGAGTGTGCGTTCTGGTCTATTCGATTACACTGTTTAAATATATCTAAGGTGGCTGATATATTTGGAGGGTGTTCTATTATATTACACTCTTAGTAACTATTTATCTACACATATATGCACATCCATAGATAGATAGATAGATAGATAGATAGATAGATAGATAGATGTTGATCTCATCTCAGGCTATACGTATCTATATATTACTCGTCAGCATCTTCAAGTCAATTTCTAATCACCTTCATTTTCACAAAAGAAAAACCTTACTTATCATGTTAAAACAGCATAGAAATATATCTTACAAGACTGAAGCGGTCCATGAACTCTCATCAATCACGATGAATGGATGTTCCCTTAGGGTGACCCCATGATCTGAGCGAATATTGGGCCTTAAAATCAAACTAGTAGAATAACGTATATACGATCCATCGATAAAGATTCTGGAAAAAAGGTCGGCTCCTTGTGCTGTTCTAGTAAGTACCTGACTCCTCGTGTTATCCTTTAAATTTACAAGAAACAGATCAGCCAGAAAATGGAGTATTGTTGTCATATTTGGATTTGAGGTGCATACTCCTCATTTTTTACTGTCTCGGTAGTCCAAAAGCGTCTTTGTGGGTGACAAATTATTTTCCACGATATAACCCCATTCTCAAAGAGGGAACATTGCAAACATTTAACTTTCAAATGAAAGTGCTTAAACGAAATCCATTTCTTACTTCCACCAGTACTAACATTCATTTTAAACATCCACCATTCTACGTGTATTATAGTTAAACCATCCTATTTACTTTCTTATTTCAGTGGTGAGATGAAAGGTCAATTAGATAAGCTCCTTCCCGATCAACAGAATCTTAACCTGTTCATGTTTACGATTCACATTATCTTCCGCATATATTCGCATCAACTGTGCCTCTTACTCCGTAACACTTTATATCGAGTGGCTCGCGAGCCTTGTGCAGGGCGAACCACACTGTAAATAATATTAAAAGCACACTTCCTGTCTATTAAGCTCTCTCACGAAAAAATCTGATGTTTGAATCTTTGGTCCGCTAACTTCCAATAAAAAAAAGTTTTTGACCAAAATATATGTTTATATTTGACAGATTGCTGCCAAAAAGCGACGTGACTGAAGCCGCTTCTCCTTCTCAATGTATTGAACCTGTGTGAGCAGCTAAACGAAGAATCAGCCATCTTTTTGAAAGCCAATCTCAACACTGATTCATTATTATTGGGTGAACAAAATCCAAAATAAGTCTTAACACTGGAGCAAATGCTGTGAATTTGATTTATTGGTGTCTTCGTAAACGTGACTTGAAATTATTATTATCCTGACGAAAAACATAGCGACACCCTGAAAGACATGTTCTCCGTTGACCAGAGTAAACCTGGAGTTTGATTACGTCAGGATACAGATAAGTATTCAGCTAACATATTCAAAATCTTCGATCATCTTCTGATGTAGTAACGCTCATAAATTTGCACTAATTATGTCATATAGGAATGCATAATGAGAAATGAATCACTCTAGTTAAAATGTCCAATAGAAACAGGCTCCAATTCAAGGAGACCTGCACGTGTTGCTTTTGTTCAATTACAAAGGTTTGATCTGAGTTCTGAGCTTGTTGGATGTGAGTCATCGGTAGTGTGTTGATGCTAGAAAAACTATTCAAATGAAAAATTTCTACCAATCGAGCGTTTAGGGGACGGTCACATGTCCAAGACAGATGCATTATAACAATGGTCGACCCGATGACCAACATGGCAACAATCAAAACAATGTGTTCTTGGAAGTGTCAATTCCGACGGGTGGAAATTATTTACCTGACTACAAGCAAGCATTATATTAGTTAAATTACATCACACAATTTATAAAACGATGTCATGTAAATGATGAACATTTGCCTGTTAGATATCGAACTGTGAAACATCGTTTCTCATAATGTAATCGACCATGTGCACTGGCCAAATCCCTGGAAAAATAGAGTGGGATGCCATATTTAAAACTTCTAGATGTTTCGTCGTTTGTGGATTAATGTTTGACGGTACCATATACGACCAAACTGTTTCAAACTTTTCAGCTGCCAATCCTGTAACATGTACATTTTGGCATACCGTTCTAGAAGAATAATTCCCTGTTTATATGACGCTCCTGTTACTCAACATGTTATAAACGATTTCAATGAATGTCCTGTTACCAGACGTTACTTTACTGAACATGAATAAGCTATGATGTGAATACATCCAATTCGTTCATTTAGCCCGCCTAATCCGTGGAATAATGGATAACAGCTCGGACTGAGTAATCGGAGAGCCTAGTTCGGATTCCAGTCAAATCCATTACATTCACTCACGTGCTAATACCTTTGAGAAAGGTATGAATCCTCTTCTTCTCCCCCTAGCTATGGCTAAATAGCAGGACAGACAAGGTTCTACAGCCTTGAACTGGTCTACAGCAGAAAGAAATGGCAACGTACTGCAAGAAAAAAATCTGCCTCCTCTAAGCGGGTATCACATATGGCACATAACTGACTGAAAATTCTGTCTGAATTTTATCAACCGTTATAAAAGACATGGAAAAATGTTTCGTAGTCATGACTTCGATATCTGTACAATTATATTCATGCGTCCATAGGATAAACTTGATACCAAATCTTTTTTTTGTTTGTTTTGTTTTTGTTTTCTCAGAAGTACTGGTAACTTACTTATTTTGGAAACAATGTATTTACTGGCCTGTTTATGTCATAACCTATGGTAATCTAGTTACATTACCATTACTTGAAAACAATACTAATGGTAATAATAACCGTTAGAAAACATTCTGGTTTCAGTGACCGAACAGCCGGTTCTACGTGCCGTT